CTGGGCAAAACGCCATAATATTTAGCCGTGAAGGTCTCGTTTAGGGTTGCACACGAAAAAATAAAAATATATGTATTTGATATGTATATTTTTAATTCGTTTTATTTACTCCATTCACATAATCCAAGTTTTCTCATTTGTCTGTGTTTTAACATGGTCTCTTTTAGGGGTCACAAAAAGCTTGGGCCACGTCCAGATCGGTCTCCTTTAGGGGTTTAATTCAAAATTTCCGACGAGCATCCCCACCCCTTTCATATGCGGAGTCCACCCCCCCCCCGGCATTCATAAAGGATCATGATAAGAGCTGTTAAGATATTGATCAACTCATTGAATTCTTTCTTTCTACGACGTAGATTTTATTCTCTTTTACTCACATATTACAAAATCACACCTAATCATCTTGAAAAAAACTTTCATATTTATGTTCCTCAAAAGGCTTGTTCCCTCTACCAGAATAATCAGCACACACTGTACTTGTCATTTCTGTTAATTTATCCATTTTTGGAGCAAAAATCTAGTGATTGTCTATAGTTTCACTCGTCACATTAAAATCAATCGACTTTCACTGATATTTTAATAACTGTACATGCAGTTAAAACTAAACCATTCGCTTTTACTGATTTAAACACAATTGAACATTTCCTATATTTACTGAACATTATTTCTCTCTAACTCTAAATGTTGTTCTTAGCTAATTCATAAAAGCAAACGAAAAAAAAGATTGTTCGCCTTTCGAGCGAAAGCCGAAAACTGTAAAGGAGACGCTCTTAATGAATACATCGATAGACTACATACAGGTATTAATACCAACTGAGTTTTGCGTTAACCCTGAACGTGTCATCACCAGACATAAAACCGCTTTTCTGAATCCCGGTGTAAGCAAGGAGCTCCGCAATGTTCCCGGTTTACAGCGAAAAACAGCGCTAGGAGGTGATAGAATGTACATGCTGTAGTCTGAAATGTCATCCGTCTCTTCGTCCTATACCCCAACGGGCGACAAGGCGAGAGACACGTCTGAATTCCCAGCAGCGTCGACTCACCTTGCTTTTTCGCGAAAGTCTGTGACATTACGAGGGCGACATTACAACGCTAGAAACTCAGACGTTCTCTCTCGCCTTGCCGCCCGTTTGGGGATGGTGCGAAGAGATGGATGGATGACATTTCAGACTATGCACTGAGGGCCGCGAAGGCAGTAGGCTAGTTTCAAATTGTTCAAATTGGTATTTGGCTCCGTGGCTGACAGGGTATAAAACAAATGAAATTCGCATAAAGATTCAGGGAGCTAACTTTGAAAATTGGAAACTGACCTATTATAATCATATTAAAAACATGGATGAGAGATGCGGTGAGTTTATTCATTTAAACACGTGTATCCGCGTGTGTAAAAGTATTGTCTGCAAAATAACGTCACTCCTACGGTTGTAAAAACTATTGTCTGTAGGTATGACGTCACTCCTACAAAACTGAAATAAAACCTTTTGTCTGTAGGCATGACGTAACGGGAAAGTAAAACCAATGCATAATTCGACGTAATGATGCAATGTACAAACTAAGGCCTTTAAATTCCCATGTTCGATATGCTCTTTTTCAAGCCAAGCCTTAATTATAATTAACAATTATAATTTTATAATTCTATACATGAAAAGATTGTTAGTAATTAAAGTATCTTTAGCAACACTTCACAAAGCTAAATTTGCGCCAGCTCAGTCCAATACAAACTAGGGCGGATCTTGGATTTATTTACAAGAAGGGTTAAGAATTATAAATGTATGACCTCCGAGAATCTGAGTATTTAGAGGGGTCCGAAGGCATGAGTGCCAGTAAAATTCTTTAAAATTTCCAGAATTTTGAGGGGTAGTTCACAGTGTTTTAAGCGCTGGAATTCCAGGAATTTTGCGCCATTTTGTAACTTTTACTTGGTTTTGGTTATAGCTTTAGGTTTTAGACGCTAGTTCAGGTTTGACCGAACCACCACTAGATATCCCCAGACAAAGAAATTACAGAATGAAATCGGCCCTTTTCCACTTATACATAACCTTGAAGGATTCAATGTTTATCTTTACTCGAATTTAAGAACCTTGGATTTGTTACCGCGTTCTGTCATAATAGACTTTTAGAAACCATACTGGTTATGATGCTTAGCGCTACTTTTTTGCCTAGACTTATAAAGAGTTTTCTGTTTCACCCTCAAGGGGACACAAAACTAATTTATCCCACCCCATGCCCCCCATTTGCCGGTCTTTCTGCTTATGAATAATCAGCTCCTTAAGCATATCAACAATGGTGAAAAAATTCACTCATACGGGATAACCACAGTGCTGTATGAGGTTCCTGTTCCAGCTAATTGCACTCCATGACCCCAGTCTAAAAAGAGTGTTACGTGAACCACAACCAAGGAACCAACACCACTGATAGTAAACACGAGCAGTCAGCTTCAATGCTGTCAGGTCGGCAGACACAGTCGCACACCACTGGTTATAGGGGTGTACTTGTAAGGAGAGTGTCATAGGCAAACCAACATCAACTATGGTTCCATCTCCGGACACACCGGCCCTGATTACATAAAGTACAGAGAGGTATCCTTGAATGCTAGCTGTGGCTTCGGCATAAGGCCTAATCTGAAGACGAAATCAACAGTCATTAATTAAAGAAGAAAATTGTTGCCAGAGATTTTGTCTTGGTCCAAAAATCACAAAAGCAATGAAATGATCAAATGACTTTGATTATCGTTAACTTGACTTCTCGCCCGCCGATTTTGAGTTCACCTTCTGAGCAGCCTAAAATACTTGGATGGAATTCCCTACTTTACTGGTAAAGTACAGTGTTCTAAAGTTTGATTACCTACTGCCGCAACAACCACCTAGTTTTGGGAGGATTCAGAGCAAAATTGGTTCTTGCTAAGTAGGTCGTAAGGCGTCTAGAAATGGCCGCGCCGCTATTAATTTACGTGGTACACTGCTCTTAATTGGCCACAGTCGTGAAATGGTGGTGTGATCGGCAGTTGTATTTTAGTATTTCAAAATAATTTTCAATGAGAGGGATAAAGATCACTGTTAACTTTTCGTCTTTCTTAACAATAGGGCCCACTAAGCTATGAGTAGTCCAGTACAAGCAGAAAAATAGATGATTTACCTGCGCAGCAAACTTAATGTTTGAGGAGCTCAGTGACTTAGGATACGATACTGAATAACCGGTTTTAAAGCCTAGGCTGAAGGATGCCCCAAGGCTGAAGGCAAATACAGGAATTCCAATGTCCTGAGATGAGAAAAAATAAACGCAAATGCGTTAAGCACACTTAGTAATTCACGTTTAGTAACAAAGGGCTTGATTGCAGTAACAGGTTCTTACATAAATGGTAAATCGTAGGTTCTTGATGAATAGATTCTTATTTTCTGAAGAAAACAATACATTAAAGCTAAGGAGTATTTAGTGCATGGTATACTCAGCTTATTCCTTATATAAAATCTGCATACCATTACATTGCAGTTGGAGTGTTAAGACACCTATGTCTTCAAAGAGGATTCTGAATGTTGACTTATCTTATTTGCCCAAGTGTAAATTTTTTTATATATATTTTAGAAAATAAGAGCCCGTTTCAAATTTTAGGATAAAAAGGTTCTTGTATACAGGGGGTCTAACTTGTAAATTTTAGCCTAACAGGCTTTAAAAACCAGGATTAAATCTTGTTCCGTTTCTGTATTTGACCTTCCTATGTATTGCTTAGAGTAACCTTTTAAAAAACCAGGTTCTTAGTCGCGGCGGTTTCTACTGTACAATTGACTTTTTGGCTACTGAGCCGTCCCTTTCTACCAGCTTTCTACTAAAACATTTTCTATGGCTGGAGGAAATACTATTGCGTCAGCTACAGTACCGAACGAAGCGTAGTTTTCTCCTCGTGGAAGACGGCAAGACTACTAACACCAGAGGGGCCTATATAATAAAACTTTTACAAGTTTTCAGACTAAAACAATGGCTACACTTTTAAATTACCCTTTTATAAAAATTATGGGACGAGACAGACTGTGGCTATTATATATAAATCAGTCTCTGTTCTGAGCGGTCCGAGTAAAATTTTCGAAGCGGAAATTAATTTCAGTCTGGTGCAGCATGTTTTGGAGGCCAATAAGCTGATTACTGACAAGCAATGGGCTTATAGACGAGGGTACTCCCCGGAACTCTTAATTAGAGGTATGGAGAAAGGCAGCGTTTTGGTGGCGGCTTTTGTGGACTTTTAGAAACCCTTTAACAGTGTGTCACATCAAGAGAATTCTCTCTTGGTCACACGAGATCTTATTGCAAAAACTTGAAAGTAACTTTCGAATCAGAAAAGATTCACTAGAATGGATAAAAAGCAATTTGGGAGGAAGAATGCAATTATGTCAAGTTATTTCAGTGCTACAACTCGCCTGGTCCAATACTTAGGAAACATTAGACCGTTATTGGAGCAATCTGATTGGTTGATTTTAGTTATTGGCCCCTCTATCTTAGTGAGGTAATAATATGTTGCCCCAATACATACTGGCCACCTCGTTTTTAGGCAGAGGCGAGGCAGCCTAGTTATTTTGGCTTTGGTGAACACAAGGAAATGGAGAAATCGTTCACGGTTACCCGAAGACGAAATAATCGAATAACTGACTACACTGAAAACTGAACAGAACAAATGCAAGAATACGCACAAAATTTTGCTCGATGGAGATCAACTATCTGTAGCTCATAACGTACCAGCGACCATTAGACTCTTCCAACCTGACAGTGAAGCAATCTTTTGTCTAGTATTGAACCATAGTCAAGAGAGGTTTATCTTCTCTTGACCAGTGGAAAGAATCGTCTATTACATATCAAAATTCCTTGCCAAAATTGTCTTGATAGTAAGTCACGCGCGCGACTAATTATCTTTGAGGATTGACTAGTACTGGCTAAATTTTGAAAGACAACTTAGGTAATATCCTCTTAATGAAAGTATACCAAGAAAGAGAACATGCACTTACTATGGTTTTGCTTCAAGAATATGAGCTACGAGAAGGTTGTTGCCGCTGTAATTGACTCCATGTGTACTCCTCGTCAATTAATTTTGTGTCAAATCTTCCAATATGAAGAACGACAGTCTCCCTCACTTTGACGCCTTCTTGTACCTTATACTTTGCGGTGACCTTTACGTTTATCCCGAGTATCCTCTTTTGAAACAGTGTGGAAGAGGAATCGAACGCTAAGTTCGTCGATCGTCGGGATCGTGTAAGAAGAATGCTCGACGAGTTGGTTGAATTGTACGTTTGGTTGACCAAAGGATTCTCCGGTGGTGTTAGGGTTAAATTAGAAACCGCTTGGCCTGTTTGCACTTTTCGAGTTTCCTTAACAGAAAAAGTGCTCTTAGACTTAGGAAGAGAGAGGCCTGTGAAAAGGTGGACTTTTACTCTTTCGGATTCCGCCTGTTCGAAGTAGTTTGGTAATTCAATGATAGTAACCAGGCTTTTCATAGCTACTTTCAAAGATCTGACATCAGAACTGCTATTACCATGAATTGGTTCCCCGAAATTCAACTCTTCTGAAAAATAAGCACGGCTCTCTGTGATCATTCCATTGCTCTTGTTAATGAACGCCGAATCAGAGTATTTCAAATCTAAATCAATTTCGGAGGACAAGTTGACAAAATCTGCGCGGTCAAAATGATTCCTAATAAGAACTACGTTCTTGTCTGATGTGACTGCTTGTCGGTGCATTTTAACAGAGCAAGGAAGCAAAGGAGATTCTTCATAATCGGGTGAATTCGAATCTGCCGCTTTCTGTCCGTCAACATCTTCGTACAGGTTTCGTTGCACGGCTGGGAGTAGTTGCTCTAAAATGCTGTATACTTCACGGAGAAGATCGGGACGAATGTCTCGAGGCCCGAAAACTTCAAATGACTCGCTGGTTTTGTTTCTTGGGGGGCTCGTTGGCCTAAAATAAAAAATGAGTAACAAGTCAGCCAAGGAGAAAGCAATGGAGTGTGAGTGATGTTTCAAAAAAGACGATTTTAAAATAAATCAAAATCTATTTGAAAGGACAGTTGTCACTTTAGTTTGTTTCAGGCAGTTTTCTGGGCGAGCGATTCAACCCGGCGATCGTAGGAAATTCACACTAGGAAAAAAATTCACTAGGAACGTGCACTGAAGATTCCACGCTGTGAATTCCGGATTCCAGGAACTGGATCCCATTGTTTGTCAGTGGAACTTGGATCAGCCGGATTTCAATCGTTAGTGGGATTCCGCATTCCTTGAGTTGTATGCCAGATTCCAAAGCCCTGGATTCCAGATTTCACAAGCAAAAATGTCCCGGATACCGAAATCCGGAATCCCTTACACGAGACGAGGAGAATCACAGTTGTACCTACACCGTCAATAGATGAAATTTCGGAACTCTACATCCTAAAAGCCGTCGAAGATTTCTTTTCACGTTTTATGGTGTTGTTCTGAATAACTGTGAAAAAATGAGTCTGCGGGTAAAAAATTAGCTTTGGTAAGTTTCAACTACTTTTACCTTGAGGCAATCTGGAGTCGAACTAGAAAGTAGTCTGTCATTATGTTTTGCTCCTTCATGGCCGGATTTTCACCCAATAGGGACAACTTGAATTTCATTAGGAACCAGTACTCCTCAGAAGTCTTGTTGAGAACGCGGATGCCCACTATCGCACGGATGGTTACTGCGAAAAAGTACGAAGAAAAATGTCAAGAAGTATTACACCTTTACTGCCAAAGCGATATCAGGATTATAAAAAATATCAAAACGTGCTATGTGCATGGCTAAGAAATTCCTGGTTGTTATGACAACGTTGGTGCAATTAGGCCAATGCCAATAAGGCAAATATATAGATGATAAGGATGATTGTGATGACAATGATGATGATGATGATGATGATGATGATGATGATGATCATGATCATGATCATCATCATGATGTTTATGATGTTGATGATAATGATAAGGATGATGATTTTGACATTAGCAGGACCCATTCAATACACGCCATTGGGCCGCCTCAAATATAAACACTTTTCCTTTAATGGACACTTCATGAAAAAGTTTATATGCTATTGAAGAATTAAGAAGAACTGCACCAAAAAAGACTTTCACTGNTGTTTGTCAGTGGAACTTGGATCAGCCGGATTTCAATCGTTAGTGGGATTCCGCATTCCTTGAGTTGTATGCCAGATTCCAAAGCCCTGGATTCCAGATTTCACAAGCAAAAATGTCCCGGATACCGAAATCCGGAATCCCTTACACGAGACGAGGAGAATCACAGTTGTACCTACACCGTCAATAGATGAAATTTCGGAACTCTACATCCTAAAAGCCGTCGAAGATTTCTTTTCACGTTTTATGGTGTTGTTCTGAATAACTGTGAAAAAATGAGTCTGCGGGTAAAAAATTAGCTTTGGTAAGTTTCAACTACTTTTACCTTGAGGCAATCTGGAGTCGAACTAGAAAGTAGTCTGTCATTATGTTTTGCTCCTTCATGGCCGGATTTTCACCCAATAGGGACAACTTGAATTTCATTAGGAACCAGTACTCCTCAGAAGTCTTGTTGAGAACGCGGATGCCCACTATCGCACGGATGGTTACTGCGAAAAAGTACGAAGAAAAATGTCAAGAAGTATTACACCTTTACTGCCAAAGCGATATCAGGATTATAAAAAATATCAAAACGTGCTATGTGCATGGCTAAGAAATTCCTGGTTGTTATGACAACGTTGGTGCAATTAGGCCAATGCCAATAAGGCAAATATATAGATGATAAGGATGATTGTGATGACAATGATGATGATGATGATGATGATGATGATGATGATGATCATGATCATGATCATCATCATGATGTTTATGATGTTGATGATAATGATAAGGATGATGATTTTGACATTAGCAGGACCCATTCAATACACGCCATTGGGCCGCCTCAAATATAAACACTTTTCCTTTAATGGACACTTCATGAAAAAGTTTATATGCTATTGAAGAATTAAGAAGAACTGCACCAAAAAAGACTTTCACTGAATTTACTTCATTAACTTAACAATAAGGTAGATATAAGCCAAGTATAAATGAAAAATATTTACCCTTTTGTACATCGCTTCCTTGAAGCTGGATGTGTTGGTCCACTTGATACGTAAGCGTTTCGCCCTCATTCAGATCAACTTCTACCAAACGAGCTGACTTCTGTTTTACGGTCAGCGAAAAATACACAGCCATAGACACCATTGCACCTAGCAGCAAAACTGCTGTAACAGCACCGCCAATAACGAGCTTAGACTTCCAACGAGGCCGCTTCGACACCAGACTCTTGGTATCGCTCAGTTCCAATTCTTGTTTAAGGTCCATGACAAAAATTGACTGCCTATCGAGTGATTTTCACTCTAGCAAATGAGAGAATGAAGTGTTGAAGCATTGGTCACAAGGTTCCTTAAATACTCTGCTTGCTGAAAGGTGCTTTATCATTGCCTCTATTCTGCAAAACAGTCAGTTAAGTTCCAACCTGTTGCGCTGAAGCTACTTAGTTCAGTATTTTCAAAACCAAAAATAGACAGTCCAAACGTTGCAGCACCAAAACAACCAAAGTTCAAACGTCAGAATTCCTACTATGCTGAAGCTACTTAATTGTATTTTCAATGAAAAAATTCGTTAGGGACAGTGAATCCAAAAGTTGCGACAGTAACTAACAGCCCAAGCTCAAAAACTTACTAGAACTCAGAGTTTTCGGTAGCATTTGCAAATACCGGAGTCAGAGGTCCAGCTGGCGGACTTGCACCATTCGTGCCGCTGGCGCGAACGTTGAGTGCCGGAGGCACGAAAGTCTAGGGGGGTACCGGGGTCAGGGGGCATGTTTCCGCCGGAAATTTTTTAAAATTGGAAATGAAATTTCCGGCGTTTCTTGGAGCGGAATTTGTTAACCGAGAAGACCTTCAGAGGCATTAAAAACTGCTTACAAAAAATGAAATATTTGATTTGGCTTTTATAACTATCGGTTTCCAGTTGAGCGTTTTCAGTTGATTCCAAAACCAATTCCATTCGGAAAGAGCGTACGAAGAGTGTCCGTCGACAGATGTTTTACAGATAGGAATTTTAATGTTCCCAGTACAGTTNATTCGTGCCGCTGGCGCGAACGTTGAGTGCCGGAGGCACGAAAGTCTAGGGGGGTACCGGGGTCAGGGGGCATGTTTCCGCCGGAAATTTTTTAAAATTGGAAATGAAATTTCCGGCGTTTCTTGGAGCGGAATTTGTTAACCGAGAAGACCTTCAGAGGCATTAAAAACTGCTTACAAAAAATGAAATATTTGATTTGGCTTTTATAACTATCGGTTTCCAGTTGAGCGTTTTCAGTTGATTCCAAAACCAATTCCATTCGGAAAGAGCGTACGAAGAGTGTCCGTCGACAGATGTTTTACAGATAGGAATTTTAATGTTCCCAGTACAGTTGTTGCATTGGCCCATCAGAAAAATCAGTTCACTGAAGCTGAATCAGTGAAAATCTTGGTGATGTTTCTGGGCTGCTCTCAGCGTTTCGATCTGCTTATGAATACGATCTTCAGAGGGTCAAATTTATCTTTGATCAATAAATAAGAAAAAGAAACGATTTTCCCACTTTAAGAAATCACTATTTCGTGTGTTAACTACCGGACGTTACACGTCAAACGACCAGACGTTGAGTCCGGTGCCCGGCCTGAAACGAAATCCCTGAGAACTTTCTTTGTTTCCGGACAAATCTGTTTACATAACTTGAACGACCGATATTGAGGTCGTTCATTCAACTGGTCGGCCTTTGTGTCAGTAATGTTCTAAAAAATCAGTAAAGCAATGCAATTGCCAAAAATGACTTTGACCTGTCGTTAATTTTGGTTTACATTGATTTGACTTTTCGAAAATTTGAGATTTTAACTCAAAACCTAAAGCAAAAGTCAGCGGCCGGGTGGAAAATATTTGATAAAAACGGAATGCATCGAGTAGCCTAACACGACTGAGGTAGAAAAAAGTCGGTGTGGCACAAGGATCGACAATAAATAATTCAGGATGAGAAACTATTAGGTATGAAGTTAAGCGAAGCAGTAGGGTGAAGTTGGTGGAAGCACTAAAACTTAACAATTAACTACATAGCAGTGTAATTCTACCTGATTCCGGTGAAGCATTTTGTAAACTTTGGCAAGAACAAAAACCCGATTTGTATTATTTGAGATCTTAAAATACAATTTCAGTAAGAGGGAGAAAGACCTCGCCTAACTTTCAATCGTGGATAATAATCAGCCTTCCAATAATTAAAGTTCTGAGTATTTATTGATCAGTAAGCATTTTACAGTGAAACCTCTGTTTAAGCGGTCCGGCTTATCGCCGGCGGAATTCAAGGAAATTGCTTCCCATTGCATATTTGCTGTAACGTTGACCCACATTAAGCTGGTCATTAATTGACTGTTTATCACTGCTTCCTTTGCGCTGAAGCCTTCAACTCGTCTCCGTCAATCTTCATTCTCATTTCTTAATTTTGAATTGAAAAATCAGAAGTCGATCCAAAAGTTGCTCAGTAAATCAGTCCAAGCTCAAACTTAAGCAGTTCCGGCCGTGCAGTGATTTTGTTACCCCAGCCCCCAGGACTTGACTACCCCAAAACAGTGAGATTCCCAACTCCCAACTACCATCGACTTCCTTCTATACTGTTGGTCCGTATCAGATGTAGTCACGTAGCGAACGTCATGTACCCCGCACTAGCTCATTGCTCTCTGATTTCGGCTACAAAAACATTCAGTTTAACACCTTTTCCGCTGAAGCTACTTAGTAATGCGTGTTTTTCTTCTTTCTTTTTTTTTCAAAGGGTTAAATGGACTCATAATTCAATCCCACAGTTGCAGCAGTAAAACAACTTGAGCTCAAACGTACGGCAATTTCTCACAAATCCGCCATTATCTTAATGGGGCCGATATTGTGTGATCCAGTGCTCGGCAGATAATATCCACCAAACCATGATTTGATTTATTAAACTGGTAGGCCTTCTTGTTTACAATTTTCTAGAAAATCAGATTAGCATCGGTTTGATTGCCGTTATTGTCGACTCATTGACTTTACCTCTCGCAGATTTGATATTTAGAACCCAAAATTTATGGCTGGGGTTTCTGTTTACTAACACTAATATAAAATAATAAATAGCTATTGTTTCATCCAAACTGCATCGACCAGCGAAACCCGAAGAAGAAAGGAAGCTAATGTGGGTCAAGGACTATAAATGACCCGAGCGGACGTGATTCGGGGTTAACATGTAAGTTGGTCGAAGGACGAGTTAACAATATATTGTGAGTTTGATTCTATTGTGAGTACTAAAAAGCTCAGTATATCAACTTCGACTAAATTTGGCAAGAGATTTTTTCTTGTTTAGTTTAAAAAAAAAAAGCTATTAATAAATATTAGTGAGAAGGATTAATACAACCCAAGGTCAGTATTTCTGTCGCGCTGAAGCTACGATTGTATTTTCAAATGAAAGAAAAAGTCAGTCAAACTAAAAGTTGCGCCTGTAGATCAGCCCAACGTCAAACTCAGCAGTTCCTGCCATGCTGCCATTGTATGCAGTGGTTTAATTGTAACCAAAAAACTATCAATGAGTCCCAAGAGAGCGTTATCCTCTCTTGTGAGTCCCCTACCCCCTCCCCCCCCCCCCC